CCTCATAAGGTCACTTTAATAACAAACTTTTCATTTTGAGTCAAAAAAATATCAACTTCTTAATAAGTCATAAAATATACAAACTTATGTTGACTCAGCCAAATTAGCTATAAAATTAGTTAATTTAAGACTAGAGTCTAGGTCCGGAGAAATGGAGAGACGATATCCTTGAAGGTCATAGCCCAAGTCCAGAGACATGTTAAAACACGAGATCCCTGAAACCGTATACTGAAACCGGAGACGTGGAAAGGTGCTGCATAGGAGTGATATCCTGAGACTTTATCTATCTTAATCACTGATAATAATAAGTAGGCAGGCCTTACATCCCTGGGAGACGATGTTGTAATAATATTTTCCCTCTTTAAAAAACGCTTGTTTTGACAGAGTAAACCATGGATTAGTCTGGCTTAAGCTTGCCCTTTTAGCTCCTCGTTGTCTTCTTTTTGTGGTTTTGTAGAGAATTTGGTCAAATTTCAGGGGATTTGTTAGTTTATTAGAATCCCGGATTAAAATTTGGAGACTTACATATACTTCAGGCTACATTACTTCTTCTAGATCGTCAATTCTAACGACTTTGTGTTAAAACAAAACTAATGGAATGATATCGATTTTTGTTTTCTTTGCAATCATTCAAGAAAATCAATAAATATTAAAGATGTAACAAAAGAAAATTAATAGATAACCAGAAATAACAAAATGTAACAGAGTGATAAAGCTCAGTTTAGCCAGCAACAGATGATACTCATTCACAGCAAAAACTATATAGACTTTATTACATGAATTTGGCGTGGCCTCCAAGATCGGTTTAGCCAACTTACAAGATAGTCTCATATTGTTTTGTCAGATAGCTTGTTCCGAAGGAGGATTGTCGGCTTCGCAGTTGTTATTCACTGATTGAGCAGAGATGTTTGACTTGAGTAGCTTTGCATCTTTAGCACTGAGATACTCTGCATGGTCTACAAAGGCATAAACTGTACCAAATTTCTCAGACGCTCCAAAACCTTGGATTTCAACAGTTTGGAAAGCCTTCCTCTCGATATTGAAGTAAAAAACATAAAACGGTTCTTCATCATATCTATAGTATGCCGACAAAACTATCTCACCAGTAGATGTCATTCCAACAACGAAAACATGGGAGTCATCAAAGATTTTATTCTTGGGCAAAGTGTAGACATGTTTCAACCATTCATGTTTCTCACTGTCCTCTAGAACACACATATTTATGTTAAAGGTTTGCCTTCCCTCAACGTTAGTATACCCTAAAGGGCCTAAACTAATCCCACCTAATGTACCCTTATAGTTTATCAACTTAGAGATAGATAGATCACGAAAGCAGTTTGCGTCAATAAACTTGAATTCCTCAGACCTAACATCAAAACAAACTATCACGTATTCTAGAGAAATTTGAGCTAAGTAGTACAAAACCCCATTGATGCATATCCCTTCACTCAAAGGCTCAGGGGTTAAGGAACAATGGATCTTCCTCCACATCATTTCTCCAGTTCCTATTGTCAGAATTCTTTGACCAACACTATCATCATCATCATTTGGTGGATAACCCATAGACAATACTTTGAATTGCTTATCGATAGGATCAAACCCTAAAAAGCTATACGACTTTCTGTAACTTGTGTGTTTAGGTAAGATCCTATACTGACCCGTGATAGGGTTACAGATCACAGGCACAAAAACGTCTTCTGAGAAGCTCATATCAGAGAAATAGATCAAACCAGAAGCATATCCACATGCAAATAGTCGTCTACTACTGGGATATATCGACGTATGGTCTCGAGGCAACTTGATATGAAGATCGGCGGGTACTACAAGAGACGACGACTTCTCATACACTGGATTCTGAGGCTGAGGCAAAGAGAAGAAGCTCCATGCGTCGGATTGTTCGAGGGCGAATAAGAGACGTGGACGAGAAAAAGTTCTGGTCATGAACAACTCTGTGAAATATGGACGATGAAGCATGGACGACCATAGCTTCGACACGCAATAAAACCTCCCGACTGACTTTGTAGGCAATCTGGAGAATATCTCGTGGATGAGATCAATCGGGAAGGATTCTGAATTTTCTTCACTTTTATTCATCGTGATAATTTGATTTGTTGATACGACGGCGAGCGAGAAATGTGAATGCAAAATCATCGCAAAGACACGTATATATGTATGTAGAGTTTGAGGCCTAGGGCATTTGTTCCTAACCGAACTAAACCGAATCAAGGCATAAACCGATCGACAACCTTTGTTACTTACGTTCTCGGTTATGAGGTTAAAACTGTAACCAATCGGTTCGACCAAATAAAAACCTTAGTGTATACGTAGAAATTAGAGTGACCCATTCTCTTTTTATTTTTCTTCTCTATTTTTCATCGAATTTGCTCTTAGGACTTTGTTTCTACGACCTAACTATATCATACAAAGTTTTTTC